GCATATACCTAGAGTGGAAATGCTGAGTCAGAATGTATTTTATATACATACATACATATATATGTGTATATATCTATGGAACTGTCAAATAGTTTTCCAAAGTGGTTGCACCATTTAAAAACTGTCTTCAAAGGCTTTATTATTTAAAGTGAAGCCATGTTGTTTTCTCCTTAGATTCACTGAATAATATTGAAGAGGTTCCCATTCCCCCCTTTCTTTCCTTCTTTCTGAGAACTGACTCTCGATATCCATCCCCTGCCCCCCAACACCCCTGTCAACCCCTCCCTCAATACCCCCTGTCCCTGCAGGGACACTGTCCACAGTGGGCTAGGCCCTCCCACAGCAGTAGACCAAGAAAATAGACCCCAGGCTTGCCCACAGGCCTAGCTAGTGGAAGTGTTTTTCTCAAGTGAGGTTCCCCTTTCCAAACTGAAGCTAGCTTGTGTCAAGTTGACATAAAACTATCTAGCACACCCAGGGTCTTTCCTAGTGAGTTATTTCTTAACAGTAATTCTCTGAGTTTCAGGCTTTTGTTTTTGTAATCCGTAAACTACGGATAATAGCAGTCTGCGCCTCAAAGAGACGTGAAGATGTAATGAGATAATGACCGCAAAGTGCTTTTCACAGTGTTCGTGATACACAGAGCAAATCCTCAATAAGTGTTGACCGTGTTTTACTATTTATAGCGCACTTTTCCCCTAAAGTCTAATGTATGTCCCAGCCACAAAATCTGAACCAACTAAATTTCTGTGTGGAGAAAGTTTTTTTGTGGGAAGCAATGCATTTAACAGTTAAGGGCCCAGACACTGGAATTAGGCACAGAGAACCAAAATACTGGGTTTGCCACTTACTAACTCCGTGTCTTTCAGATGCTTTAATTAACTTCTTGGAGCTTCATTTTTGTTATCTAGAAAATGGGATTATAAACATCAACCTCCATCAGCTAACTCATGAGTTCATCAAGATAATTTATACACACAGCACTTAATGCATGATTCTGTGGGTTGTATCTGTGATGTATGCACGGAATGTGGACTGTAGTATTATAATACATCGGGAGCTAAACCTCAAAGGAAAAAGGAATATGCTCCATGAGTTGGCAATAAATGGACTATCTGATGTTATAACACCACATGTGATAGAGTAATTGATAAAGAATGGCACCTGGGGCAGGGTGGTATGCAATGGCCTGGAGCCCTCACAGGTCCTGCCCTTGGTCATGCTGCCTATGGCATGATCGCCCTGACTCCGCACAAGATACTGAGATGAAGAATGGTTCATTTCTTGGGTTAAATGTTCTTCAAATACTTCTGTAGCCCATGCTGCTACCAGAAACCATGTTGGAGTCCATGACCCGTGTTGCCACCAGAGACCTACCATGGTGATATCCGCTGCCTATGCTGCTACCAGCTGCTCTGCAAGGAAGCTTTTGCAGTGGTGTTGATGGCTACAGACTCATAATTGAGAATAAGAGACGTTGAAGGTTTCTGTGCCAACCTCTCTTCCTCAAAGGAAGCAGTCCAGACATGAAGCTGTTGAAGAGAGGCAATGGTGTTCCACCATTCCCTGCTTATACTGATTTCTTTCGTCATAATTGTGTCCAAATAACTGGCAGAACAGTTTAAAAATGAGGAATTATTCATTACTTGTGGCTTTTCTAGGCAGACATTTCATGTGCCTGGCATCTCTACTATCCCAAAGTCTCCACTATGCCATAGAATTCACTCTCATAGCTTCAACCTTCAGTCTCTCGGGGGGCATCTGACCTGCTGCACATTGCATGACTTCCAGCAGCTTCTTTGGAAAGTGATGGAAGTTTCTGTGATTCCATAACTCTTATGCTTTGCATGTTTGCAAGACCAGCCTTTCATGGCCATGCCAAGGTCTGCTGCAGCAGCTTGGCACCCTTAGACCGTAGCTTCGCTGGCCTCTGAGTGCCTGGGTAGTTAATTTGGTTAAACAAATCCTGGGGAAATGCTTCCTAAGTAGCCATGTAAAGCCAGGTGGACCCAGAGGTGTCAAGGAGGAGTCTTTCAGTGCGGTTTTTTATACCCTTCAACCCCGGATCCTGCAGTGGGTAGAGTCAGGCCAGTTCCTGAGATGCCTCAACTCATTTTTCCTATTGTTCCCATGTCAAGTGCTGTGCTCCATTTTAGTAGCATAAATTTCTTTATCCACTACATCTTCTTTGTCTACAACTTTCAGTTTGTCCCTTTCTGGTCAAACCTCACAGTTTTCAAAGCCCTTCCTTCTGATCCAGATTCTCACTACAAGTTTGACTGAAAGAAGCCTAATGGTGTGCCATCATGTTAGCATGGAATGTCCTCTGTCAAGTTTATTAGAACATTACTTTTAGGTTTCGCCTCCCACAAAGCTTCAGGACACAGGCAAATCTTGATAAGTTCTCTACAAGAATTCTACCCAAAATAGCTCCTAGTCTTAAGTTTTTGCTCCTCTCTGAAGTTTCAGGAGAGTGACATTCACTGTCTGCATTTTGTTGGCATTCTAGTCTTCTGAGCTCCCACTAAAATCGTCCCTTAAGCTCTGCTCCCACAAACCAGCTCCAAAGGTTTAAGGTTTCTATGAGTCACAGGAACAGCATTACTTCTCTGGCACCAGTTTTCCGAGTTGCTTTATTGCCTGTTACCAAATAACTGGAAGTGGGGCAGAGCGGTTCACACCATGGCAACCAGAAAGCAAAGAAAAAGAAGATACAGGACCAAGATGTAGCTCTCCAAGGACGTATTCTCAGTGACCTACTTCTAGGCTCCACCTCCTATTTTTAGTCACCTTCCAATAGAGCCATCTTCTTATCAATCTATCAAGTGATTAATCTATCCATTACACCAGCTGTCTCTAGAGACTCCCTTAAAGACACATCAGAGGTTCGATCTACTTATCTCTTAGGGGTTTCTCTGGATAATCAAGTTTATAACCAAGATTAGCCAACGCAATAACTTTTCCAGAGAATGTGAAGGTGTTTTTGCATACTTGATAGAGATGCTTGCGTGTTGACTCTCACTGTCTTTCCTAGTTGGGAGCTGAGTGTCTTGGCATGCCGGGTAGTTCATTTGGAAACTCCCAAGATGAAGCGAGACCTCACAAAAGTCTAATAACCCATTTCTTAAGGTGTGTAATGAAAAGACAAACTAACAGATACAGAACAAATCAGATGTGCCACTGATCCAGCTGCCTTGGCCCTGCTATTCTGCTCCAAGCACCCAAGAGAGCGCAAGAGCAAGAGAGAGTTCAAGACCCCTCTCCCTCAGCTTTTAAGCTGTGTCACAGGCAGACAAGACCATACCCTAGGGTTTGCTGCCCCCAAAACTTATTGGCTAAAAGGATCGAAATCCCACCACAGCAAGAGGAGGGAACATCATAAAAACCCAGAAGCTGCCAGTTTGTCAGTCAGTTCTGCCTGGTTCATCAGTCCAAAGATATGTAAAGGAGAGAAGGTCAGATGAGAGAAGAGAAAACAGGTCCAGGCTCAGCACAAGCCACCATCCGTGAGCACATCACCATCTGTGAGCACATCACCATCCGTGAGCACGTCACCCTCGAGCTGGCAATTCTCCTTGGAGTCACTTTCCGTTTCTGTTGAGAATCAGTGTGAATTTCTCCCATTTGGTAAACTCATGGCTGAGACTGGCCAGAGTTGTCATTTGTCCTGTAGGCTGACACCAGGAGGGAGCCACAATGGTTATTACTGATTCTTAGTCTCACAGGATCTAGACTCACTTGCAAGACAGGCCCGTGGGCACGCACGTCTATAAGGCAGTTCCTAGATTAGGTTAGGTGGGAGGATCCATCCTAAATGAGGGTGGTCTACCCCATGGGCTGAGGTTCTAGACTGAGCACCAGCAGCAGCTCTCTCTCTCTCTCTCTCTCTCTCTCTCTCTCTCTCTCTCTCTCTC